TAATTTTTACTTGTATTAAAGTAAATTAATAATACTTATTTTTTTTTATTTTTTGCATAGAAACAAAGCATTAAGAACTCTATTTCTTTTTTTTTTTGTTTAAATAGATCTTACACTTTCACGTATTGCCATTTTTTCTCGAGTATTATGTTGACGTCTGGATTTCAACCCACCAGCATTTTCCTCGGCATAAGCCTGATTGGCAGAAAGTAAACAAAGATGCTAGGCCGGTTTCTTGATCTTATTATGTTAGTTTTTTTTATACGTTTATCCCAAAAGTGAAGCCTCAGCGTAAAAGTAAATATCATTTCAAACTCTCTTTTTTACTAGATCGTTCCCGAGTGGCTAATTTAAGAATAACAAATGGAAGACGGCCTTACTTTATAAATTTAAAATAATCAGATGTGTCTTTCATTTTTATAGAACACAAATAGAAGCCAAAAATTGAATTTTCAAACCATACCGTTTTTGCAAACACACTGATCGTCTTTCTTTGAAGAACCTGCTTGTGCGACATCCAGATTGATGTTTTTTTCTCCACCTTTAGTCGAAGATGTGTGCCGATTAACCAAATCGATTGCTTTCTTAGGACTCATTGTCATAAACTATAATAAAATTTGTGATTCGAATTTTAGTTGAATCAAATTTTTACCTCTTTTCTCGTGCACTTGTCGCCAGGAACAGTTCCCAATTCTCTACTTAAAGCTTTATCAATTAGACTCACGATATAACTTTTCGATTTGTGCAACTCCAATGCCGAGTTATCGTCAAGTGGRGGTTTTTGTTCGATACAAAACTGTCTATTCTTCCCCATTACTGACTTAAATTTCGACTCTCGTTTCACTTCATTGTCACTTTTCGTTTCTTTTGGTTTGGGATTATCTTTATTTAATTTTTGTAAAAGTACGTTTAAGGGTTCTTCAGGTGCTTCTTTTACTTCTAATTTACTTACTTTCTCGGGGCTTGTGATAGTTTCAGTTACATTTGTTTTAACAGCTCTAAGTTTTATAATTTTGTCGGGTTGTTTGGCCTTGACCGATGCCGGGACCTGAGTGAAATAAATTTATTTTATACGAGGTTATTTAGGTGACATGGCAGTGGCGATAGTGTAACGCAAAATATTTTTCGCTGGGGATCGGGRGATTTAGATATCTGGATTGTTTAGTGGGAATGTGACAAGGGAGATGTGACAATAGAAGCTTCGAATCTCTACCCAATTTTACAATTTTAGCGCAATTTAGAACTATAACACTGAGAACTTTTATTTTATTTATTAGTCAATAGTCCAGTCAAATTAGACAAAAGTGGAAAAAAATCCTAGAGTTGGATTTTTTTTTAAACGCTTTCTTTATTCTTGGGTAGACATATATCAAAAGTCCCCGAAGGTGGAGGGCGAGCTTGAGGAGGGGGGGGAAGGTGTCTTTTTTTGTTATTTTGCTTATATCTCGGAAACTATTACTCCTAACGGTTTTTGGCTGCTTATCAAAATTAAAGCCTACAAAAATGGTCCTTTGTATTTTTGTTGTAGGACAACTGCAAGCGAGTTATAGGGCTGACAAAAAACATCATTTAAAAAAATGTGCTTTATCCGCATTTAAAACAGAATTAATCTTGTGATTTGAAAAAAATGAAAGCAAATTTAATTTATTGAGTGCAACACTTCATTAGAGAGTCTATAAAGTCTTCCGAGTCGTCCTCATATGCTGCATCTACGTCTTCAACTTAAACATTGAAAACCGAATTACAGTCTTGTTCAGTACAATATTAAAAAATAGAATGTATTGAATGTATTGAATCCAACAGTTTATTAGAAGGTGCCACGAGGGTCTTATCAAGTCTTCCGAGTCATCCTTATAACTAGCATATGCCTGCGACTTTGTCCGCGTGTATTTCTGATATAGTGATATAAAATGGGAAAAAGCTGTTTCACAAAACCATTCCATAGGCTTATGTGTATTATAGAGATATAATGCTAGATAATTACCTATGTTATGTATAGGATTCAGTTATAGTAGTCTCGTTCTTCGCATGGGCTATGTTTATGGGTAAATATTAAATGCTGATTTTCATAAAGTGTCGTCTCAGTGAACTTCTGCACTCTCAAAATTCGAAATTTCATGTTTTTAATTTTGTTTTTCTACACTTTGTAAGGATCATATTTTCTAAATTTTATGTTTTTATATCCCTTTAAATCTGTACACCATTTTATTCCCTTAAAAACTAATTTTRGAAAAATCTGATTTTAGTACACCTCTAAATAATTTTATGTTTATATCTTTGTTTAAACATTTACACCCCATTTAACCCCCTTACAGATTGATTCTCTCTTTCATCCAAAAWTTTTATTTACATCTCCGTTTAAATGTCTACACCCGAGTCACCTTTCAGGCATACCAGCTTAGTTAGGGAACGCTCTWCACATACAGGGTAAATATAAAGTATGGAACCAAGCGATTTTATTTTTAATCATTTGCCCCCAGAAAATAATAATTAATATAAACTAAAGTAATATAAAAAATGTGATCGTATTTTCAGAACGAAATTTTGTTTTGTTTTTGAGTTATGCGATTTTTTTTTTGTCAAAATTGCAATTTATATGAAAAAATTTTTTTTTTTTAAATTAAATATAAAGCAGATAGTTGTAATCCTTAGAGCATAGCTTTTATGAGAAAAATGATTATACAGGGTGATTCTTAAATAGACCGACAAAATTTTATTACAGCTTTCTAAGGATAAATAGAGACAAACTGTACCCTTTTTACGTTTATACCTTTTAGGGGCAAAACCCCCTTGATCCGTGCCACTTACGGCGTTTATGAATTGTTGCAATGATCAAGTACATTTTCATCACGTTAATACCATGGTTTCCACTACCTGTGCTAACACATCAGTGGCGTACGCTTTACTTCGAAAATAATTTTAATCAATTTTATGTGGAGAAAGTTTAAACAAAGAATTTTTTAAATATTTTTTCCAGCATGTTCTCATTTGATACTACTAAGGATAAAATTTTGTCGGTCTATTTAAGAATCACCCTGTATGGTGAGTTGCCATTTAAAAAAATATTTTTTTTTGTAGAAACAAAAGGTAATTTCGAAAAAAAATATTCTTGTTAAATCATCACATTTTTATAGTACTTTATCACTCATCAATTAGTTTTTGCAAAAAATAAATAGTTTAAGCAAAAAACGTTTGGTTCCATACTTTTTATTCATCTGGTATAAATACTTACCATATGGTAATGAAATGTGTTTCAAAGGATTTTTAATGCAATTTTATGTAGACTCCAAACTTTTGAAGCCAACGCTTAGTCCTACGACAAAAATGAATAGGACCATTTTTATAGGAAATTTTGATGCAGAAATAGACTTCTACAGAAAATTTTGCATAAATTACATAAAAGATGAGTTTGTATTTACAGACCCTCGTGACTCCCCCTTCCTTTAATAAAGTATTGGATCAACTAAATTTAATTTACTGTCAGTTTTTTTTTAAATTACAAGACTAATTCTGTTTTAAATGCAGATAAAGCACATTTTTTTAAATGATGTTTTTTGTGTGCCCTATAACTCGCTTACGGTTAGTCTTACAACAAAAATGCAAAGGACCATTTTTGTAGGAAATTTTGTAAGCTTTAGTTTTGATGAGAAGATAAAAACCTGCAGGAGTGATAATTTCCTTTAACCCCCTCCTCCTCCTCGAGCTCGCCACCCACCTTCAGGGACTTTTGATACATGTCTACCCAAGTGTAAAGAAAGCGTTTAAAAAAATTCCAACTCTAGGATTTTTTTCCACCGATTTTTCTAATTTGACTGGGCTGTAAGAAAGCTATTTAGTAAAAAGCAAAATTTCTCTGCTGTTTGCGGACGATAGGTAAATTTTTCGTTTTGTTAGTGTGAAGTATTGAACGAGTTAATGTTGTTTTTTTTGTTGTTTCAATGTCAAAATTAGTGTCAGCGGCACCTTCGGTTTTAAAATCTTCGATATTTCGCTGACTCCTGATATCTCGACTTGTTCGGTTTCGCCTTCGTCTTCGGCTTCGTCGTCGAATTTGGTGAGGAAATTTTCCAGATCGTTCAATCTCGAATTCACGTCTCCTTCGGAATCGACAGGACGGGTGTCCGTTCTCTTGACCGCCGTCGTTCTCATGACGTAGTCATTAATTGCGTAGGCAGCTTCTTGACCGCGATAATGCTGAATTTCCGTAGGAGTTGGGGCCGCTTTTCGAGGACGATGGAACGCTGCAGGATCGGGCTGACACGTTACCGGAAGACAAAGGGCTGAAGGACGTTTACACACTTGGCTGCCGACGCCACGATAGTATCTGCAAATCGAACCGAGAGAGCTTATTAAATTTGCTTCAACAACTACATCCTCATCCCATTACACAAATATTTTACGAGTATCTAGAAGAGACATTATAAAGGAAATTACTTTTACGAAAAAATACTAAGCAAAATCGAGAAAATTTGTGTTGTGTTACAGTAACTTTAAACAGAAATAAKGAAAAATGTGTATTGGAGCACATTGAAATTAATGAAAACTGGTAAAATACAATGAATCCCCCTATATCTTAAATGTTCCAAAACTCTKCAGCACAGTTAGTAGGAGCGCATGTCGAAATAAATCAGTGTCAAAGCTGATGACTGATGAGTGATGAAACACTTAAACATCCATTGATTTTTAATAATAATTGCCAAAACAACACATAACATGTAAATATTGTAAATGACAAAAAATAAATTAATTAAAATTTATCAAAGTTCATAATYACATTTTTATGGTTGTAGGAAAAAATAGTGTGCACAACTCGTCGCAAAGTGTCTAACGCACTCGTGGAGATTCACGTGTGAGTCAACGAACAATAAAGTTTTCTTTCATGTTGAACATGTTATTTTTTWTGTACCTACTCAATTAAACGCGGTTTGAATAAWAWYSTMWT